GGGGGGGGGGGGACCTGGCTGGAGCAGGACAGGGGCTGGCAAAGCACTGGGAGGGAAGTGAACCAGGCAGTGCCCAGAGCAAGCTCCCCTGGGCTCTTCAGATACCCAAGAGCAGAAGCAACAGCCCACTGCTCAGGGGAGCCGATGGGGATGGCACGGCCTTGGCCCAGCCCTCAGAAGTTGGGGTGACAAAGCAGGTCTGGGGAGAAGACCATTAGAGCCAACCTGCCCTGGGCCAAGCAACCTAACAGCACTCCTCTCACCAGCTGAAGGGTAAGGGACAGGGCAGGGATCTACCCAGGCCTCCCCGACCCAGTCCTGGGCAGTGCCCCTGCAGGAGCAGACCCTGGGCAGAGCTAGAGGATCTGTGCTACACCCCCCCATCCACCGTCCTCCATGTAGAGAGAATCAGCTCCCACTCCCTGGCAGGATGGCTCTGGCACTGGGGCTACAGCATCCTCACTCCCATGTAATGCCCCAGCTCCTCTCACCTGATGCCGTGGGGCTCACAGCTAGGTCTTGGGCTTGCTGCTCCAGGCCATCAGCAGCAGGAGAGCTCGTGCTGGACACAGGTGGAGGTGGGCAGGCACGGGCCTGGGTTGCTGACAGCACCATCCTAGCTGTCCGGCTGAGACCAGCTGGGCTGTGGGGATGGGACCCAGAGCCAGGCTCCAGCTGCTGCAGGCAGCTCCTCAGCTCCTTCTGCTGCTCCATGCTCCTGCATCACAGACAGGCACCTGGTGACCTCAAGACATCTCCAGCCTGAGCCAGAGACACCTGCACTGAGCCAGCTCTCAGGGCCCAGCAGGCCAACCTAGCCATTGCCTCCAGCCCAGACCAAGGGCTCCCAATGCACCCCCTGGGCTCCCTGTCCAGGCAACTCACGGCTGTGCCTCAGGGAAAAACGTCCGGCGGAAAGCAGGGTTGGCGAGCCAGGGGCTGGCAGTCAGCTCTTCCTGCAGGAGAGGGAAATGTGACTGTGGACCCAAGGCAAGGACCCTTCCCCCACTTCCCAACCAGACATGCAGCAGAGATCCAAGAGACTAAGCCAGGCTAATGCATTTGAGGGCAGCACTGCACCCCTCTTATCTTCCCCCTGCAATGGGGAGTTAAGACACTAGGGCCTGTGACAACACACACATACCAGGAAGGTGCGTCATGTGATGTAATCTGGACCCTTGAATAGCTTAATGGCAACCTGCAGCCTGGAGAATGCAATGGAGGGTTGCACTGCAAGGGCTGGGTGAGCAGTTGCCTCCCTCCACAGCCTAGCACACCTTACTACGGAAGCCGGTCAGGACTTCAGGAGCCTCAGCACCACCTGTTCCCAATATGGCCAGTGGGCAAGAGTATCGGCTGTACCAGCACCAAGAGGAAGCCCCAGGAGCTGCTCTGGTAAGGAGGGGACCCAGGCACTGCCCCAAGGCACCTACCGAGCTGTGCTGTGGCACCGGTGCTGCCTGGCTGGGGTCAGGGTCCAGTGGGGTGCGGAGATGCAGGAAGGAGAGGCCGAACTGGGTCTGCTTGTTGAAAGGCTGGCTGCAGGTGATGCGCAGGCGATCCCACTTCTCGCCTTGCGCACTGGCCAGGAAATCCCCTACGGACAGTGATAGGGGGATGTAGGGAGAAGTTCACTTCTGGACTCTGTCCTACTGCTTGCTAGCAGCCTTTCTGCCAAACTGTTGGCACCTGGCATCCTGCTCCCTGCCAGCCCCTCCACACCCCCACCTCCTGCTGTAGGTCACCCAACCCATTACTTTGCCTCCGGGGCCAGAGAGGGCTCAGGAAGGCAGGCGTGATGGGGCACTACCTAGGAAGCCCCACCCTTCAGACCTACCCCCTTCACCCCACCACCTGCTTCTCCCAGATACTCTTCTACCTTCTTTGAACATGCGGACCCCCGAGCGGTTCTGGTCCAACTTCGAGTCCGCTGGTGTCATGAGTGTGGTGCTGGGCAGCAGGGTGACATAGGGCTGGTCTAGAGGCCAAGACGAGCGCCCCACCTCAATCTGCAGGAAGGCACAGCCACAGTTCCCTGGGCAAGGGAGTGGAGAAGGTCAGGTCAGGCTCAGAGCAGCTGGGCTTTCATCATCACTAGCCAGGTTCAATACGGGAGCCCTGAGAGGAGCCATGTTGGCGCCTGGGGAGACTTGGCACCCTGGGGGCAAGTTCTGTCTGTCCCAGGCTGGGCAGCAGGAGAGCAAGCCTGCCCCATGCCTCAACCCTGACCTGGAGGAGAGAGGCCCAGCTTGCAGTAAGCCAGAAATGCCAAAGATTGGCCCAGCTGCATGACTCACCCTAGTTCCCACAGAGGTAATGCACAAAGGAGGGATAAGACCGCTTTGGCTCCCCAGCCCCAGGAACCAGCTGCACATTTAGACTTGAGAACAGCCCCCATCAGATCTGAGCAAAGCCTGAACATGCAGCTCAGGAGCCATCATGAGATGTCTTGAGCCCTTGCCACTGCTTCACTGCACCACTTTAGGCAAGACCCCTCCTGCAGGCCTTGTTTTCCTTGCTGAAATAGGCACAACTGAAACTCCTCCTCAAAGGGTCAGGGGTCTTGGTCTCTCCCTCTCCCGTACCTACGTCTATGTAGCCAATGGGACTTGCCCGCTCCAACTGCAGCTCCACTCTGAGCTGCCTGCTCCGGTCCCGGGGACAGCTCAGCCAGGGACGAAGGCTGTCCTCACAGAGCAGGTTCTCCACTGGGTGCTTGGGGTCCTGCTCCATATGGGGAAGGTGGAGGGGAGAAGCAAGGACAAGGGCAGATGAGCAGTAATGACCTCAAAGCACATGGCACAATATGAGGACATCACACCTCCCACATTCCTAGTGTGCAGCCACCTCTAGGGTGATGCATGACACTGTCTTAAAAGCACAAACCAAAGACACCACCCAAGAGCATGAGAGAAGAAGAAAAATTATCCAGTTTCCAGTTAGCACCATCCTCTGGGCCAAAGGCCCAGCTGGTGCTCCACAGCACACCTGTTCCACCATCTTAGTTTCTACCAACCCAGAGTCAGAAAGGTCCAAGCCCTCCTGAGGCGGCAGCCAGGGGCATATGTAAGGGACCCCACTTTCTGTAGCTGACAGCTGCGTTCAATCCTCCAGCCTGAATGAAGGGCTGGCTGGCTGCAGCTTCTGCCACAAGTCTGGAGCAGGACTTAAATTCTGGAGCCCCAGAAAGATGCCCTAATTACCTTCCACTAGGCCCCTTACTAGAAAATCAGAGCCTCAGCATCTGGGAGGCCACCCATACCAGCATCAGAGGAACAGAGGGACATAAATCCTTGCAGCAAGACCTGGCAACCCCCATGGCCCAATGAAATGAAGGCCACTAAAGATGTAAGCCCTGGGATTACCTGCGATGTGAAGGACACCACGTGGTTAATTTTAACTGGAGCCATTCCTGGTCCTCCTAAGATCCCAGCTAGCTGATCCAAGCTGCCCGTGGGTTTGCTGAGATGGGGCTGTCACCTCATCTGGGCCATCAGTGCCTAGCAGAAACAAGGGAGACAGAAGGGGTTTCCATCGTGTCTCACTTCAGGTGCATTTGCCAAGGAATCTGCAACCGAAGCAGGCACAAGATCAGAGCATGGTCATTCCCCTCCCTCTTCCTTCCCAGGAGGATTTGGTTTGGGTATATTGCAGCCCTTGCTGCACAAACCAAAGAGCAATGATGAGCATTCCCATGTCAATGCGAGGCCCCCATCTGTCCTCCTTTCTCTACATCAGATCGCAGGTCTACACAGAGAAATCTAACCCAAGGTGGAAGTGGAAGCATTTGTAAATTAACTAACCCAGGCAAATCTCTCTGCACGTGTTTTATTTCAGGAGCACAGAGAGGGCATGTTGACACAGGCAAGAGACCCCTCCCCAAAACTGAAGTAATTCTGCCTGATCTGGTGGAAAATTTCCCCAAATGTAGGTAAATTTCCCAGAAGCAAGTAAAACTCCACCAGCAAAGTTCCAGCTGTTTAGGCGTGGTCTGCGGCTGTTCGTCACAAGTCAGTTGTCTCCTCAAGGCAAAACAGGCTGTTACCCACTTCCCCACTACACAACAGCAAGACACACTAAGAGCATCTAATGCATGGAGCTATCCCAAGAAAATCTCATGTCTGTCCATTCCTGACACGTGTACAATTAACCAACATGCAATTTGCACTGCCAGTGCAATTTGCAGCCACGCTGGCTCAGATGCTTCTCTGAAGTTCCTGGCATTTGGACCAGAGTCATAGCGAAGCAGGGTTAGAAGAGACCTCCAGAGGTCACGTCTAGTCCAACCCCCCTGCCAGAGGCAGAATCAGCCCTGTCCAAGCCATCCCAGACCACCATAATGTAAGCTCTACCTAAAACTACTCTCAACCCTGACACAATATAGACCTAACCTGCCACAGGTAAGGCAGAGTAACCACAACAGCCGATGTCCTGCTTCTATGAAATGTTGTCAATATATGCCTAAAAGATCCCAGACAGAGACCATGCCCCAGGTACAAAGAAAGGCAAGCCCCCCCGCCCCTCTCTCTACCAATCTGGCCACAGGGTAAAATTTCTTCCCGACTCCAGATATGGCATCGGTCTGACCCTGAGCAGAAGGGAAAGACCGTCTAGCCAGAAACTTCCAGCTTTGTTCCTAGCAGGAGAATTGGCACACCCCAGCCTTAGCTGTAACTAACACCCAATGCCTCTGGGGAAGCTTAAAAACACCATGACATATATAGCAGAAAAAGTGTAGGGGGATGGGGGCAGGAGCAACCAAAGCCCAAAAGCCCGGGAAATGCTTATTTTCTACCATGGGTATCACTATGCCTAGATCATCCCAATCAGGCTTGCCAATTCGTCACACAACTTCTCTAAGACACCACCATGCCTATTCACTCACACAGCTAACACTCCTTACATCTGGATCACTGCAACATCATTTTTCTGCCCTCAAACACAGTCTGACCAACTCCCATCCATTCTGATGTCTGCTGCAAACACCATAGTCTTCCTAGGACATAGCAAACCTCCCTCAGCATCTTTCCCCTGCTCGCTCTCCTCTATCACAAATGCAAGTCTGCATATCTTCACTTTCAAGGCCTTTCACAGCATCTCTCCACCTTACTTAACACCACAAATTGTCTATCAAAAGCTTAATCTTGCCACAGACCAGCCCATGGCACCAGCCTCCCTTGCCTGCCTATTCAACCCCCCTGTCGGAGAGCTTCCTGCGACATTAATAAAATTGAATCAAAACCTTGCTTAGAACTCCCCTTTGTGGCAATTCCTTAAAAACAAAAGCAGCAACAAAACCACATGAACCCACCACTTTGAGAACAGCTATGCAAGGGATGTGCTGCAACCACCAACTACCACAGATATATAGGACTGGAAAGGGCCTCACCAAGTCCAGTCCCCTTGACTTATAGGCAACCATTTGTCCATGAAGATCCACAAAATCATCCATTCTGACCCCTCTCATACTCCACAGCCCCCCAAAGCAGCCTATGCAAGAAGAATGTACAACGGGAGTATCAAACATACGGCCTGCAGGTTGGATCTGGCCCACAGAACCTCTCTATCCAGCCTGCAGCACTACTGGCAACCTACTGATGGTTGCAGGGTGTGAGTTTAGCTCACTGCTGCTGTCCCTGGACTCACTTTCCCATACCTGCAGTTGCTAACAGACCCCTCAATGGCACCACTGCCATGGTGGGCAATCCCTCAGGATGACCCAACCGAGAAAGCCCCTTGGTACAGATCCAGCCAGGGGCCCCAGGAGGGTATGACAGCCTTGCTCTATAACACACCTCCAGTAAGGAGCAAGGGAGACAGGACCTTGGTACTGCAATGGGTAAGAAACTGCCTTAGTACTTCCTCATGCTCTCCAGTCTACCCATGGCTTCTTGCCAAGCTCCATAGAGGCAAGGCTGACTTTTAGCTCCATGTCTGTACAGCGCCCAGCACCATCCGGCCCACAAGGGAAGTGTCTAGAACAGAAACAACCAACCACCATTACCACTGGAGCACGCATGCCCAGACATGCCCCACAGACCCTGTGGGAAACCCGCTGGTGATCATATGTAAAGAAGCCAACTGGATCCCATTCCCCCTGCTGCCATTTGTACTTGAGGACGCCGAAGGAACCAAGTCATCGCACCCACAAAACATCCCCGCGCCATTTCTACCAGGGGCCATCGCTGCAAGTCCCAGCCCCCCCAGCCCAGGGCCTGACCTCTGACCCCACCCCAAAGTTGCCCTTCTCCCTTTGACCCCTCCCCAGGATACCACGTGGGTCCAGCCCCCCACCCCCAAGGATATGCATGCAGCCCTTCCCCACCCGGGCCCCAGTGGCAGAGCCCACTTTGGCAGC